TCAGCTCATTAAATGACTCAAAAATGGGTTTGAGTAGAGCCTAGAGTTGTTTATCCAAATGGGAACCGCATCAGATAATGAAGGAGCAAGACGAGCGCAACAACAGGTCTAATTTTTAGATAAGATGTTCAAAACATGAGAAGCATTCCTAAACAAACTTAAGCTCAAGCCTAAGCTTAAGCCTGAGCCTATGCCTAAGCCTAAGCCTAAGCCTGAGCCTAAGTAATTTGAGTAATTTTAACGATCATACCCTGTGAGCAATGCGTAAATCGATCAAGAACGTGTGCAAGAAGCACAATTTATTCTCCGGAGCCTCGGCCCTTTGCACCATGTGATTCACAAGTGGGAGTAACTAAATATCCCCCTAAATGTCTATCGATTTCTAGACTTACCATCTCATTCTTGCTCAACCCGACGTTCGACTTCAATATCAAAATGTCTCGAAGTTCTTGTACCTAAAAATGTTTTAAAGATTGTACAATCCAAAGTTTTTTGTTGAACCTGAGCATTTAGCATTCCAGGGACATACAAAAGTGAAGCCATTAGATTACCGCTAATCACCAAATAGCCAATCATCAACGCCACTTGGCCGCCCGTTAAACTCGAACGATGGCCGACAAAGATTGCTACAGCTGTTACCTAAAACATTCCGAATATTGTCAATTAGGCTAACTTAAAGGCTTTGAATAAATAATCGTTAATGACTTTGTTTAGAGAAATATTATTGTTAACTTTTTTTTATATTTTTGACGAGGACACTTAGTTAAGGCTTTCGGTACCTAGTAGGGGTTGATTGGACTAACCAATTCTGAGGAAACCGATAGACAAAGCTCTAGGGTCCAGTCACAATGTTTTCCCAGTTTGATTTTTTAAGTAACATAATGATTTAACGCGATGGGTTTCTAGCGGGAATTTGGGCATAATTTCAGCATTGATGGCATGAGCGGCTCATTCGCTCCTGTCGCTTTCCGGAATGCAAAAGGGAACACCTATCGATCGGCGGTGTGTGCCAGTTCGCGAGCGATTACGCATAAAGAACACCTCGCCAATCATTTTTATAGGGATTGAGCTGTGAATTTGTACTCGGTTCTTTTGTTAAACAACTTCTTCGATAAAAATGCTCGTTTGTTTAAGACAACTCACATGCGCAATAAAGGCTCCAATCGCTCCCAGATTCACGAGTTTTCCAAACGTATCATTGACATAGCGAACCATTGCGAGCAACTCCTTTTGTCTTTGAACAAACGAGATTAGTGAGTCGTATGTCTGCAAATGAAACCCTGGTGAGTGAAGTGTTTTCTAAAAGGCGCTCCTTAAAAGAAATTGTATTTCACTAGACTTTTGAGTTTAGCCAAAGAATCACTTGTCTCTAAGCTTTAATATAAAGTAATTTAAAATGAGAAGAGTTAATGAGACAAACTCTTTTAGAAAACATCAAAAGACGTTTTTATTGTTTCGTTACCAAATCAGCTTCGTTGGCTGCAGTCCGTAGCTCTTCATTGAAGCCACGAAATTGTTGAGTGATACCACCAAATGCCAAAATGTAGATCACAGTGGAAAGGCATGAGAATAATCCTGAAAGTTTTTAGTTGAAAAGACTGAAAGCATCAATCTACCGCAAACGATTCGAATGAACGGATCAGCTCCCCAAATGTTCTTGAATGATATGGGCGAACCGCTGGAATTGGTTTTGATCAAAAATTGATTTATTCAGCGAAAACCCTTTAATCCACGTTGACGTATCGTCGGCCGCATTTGAAACCACAACCAACATTAGAATAATCGTGAATACGAACATTACCGTCAACACAACGGCTCGCATTCGGGTATTTGAGGGAATTCTCTGAATGGTTGAATCGATAAAGGCCAAAATTCTTGTCTAGCATCTCATTGACACATTTAAACCCTTAGTTTCCAGTTGGTTTAATTATGATGCTTTTATACGCGCCTTTGCCATTCACAATCCAACTTTAAGCTCAATCCAGCTCAATCCATGAATCCAGCTGAAGCCGCCGTGTTTGGCTGTTCAATTTTAAATATTCTTATTATCATTAGATGCACCATATTTTTCTCTGTCGATTAATACAAAAACTATTGAAATTAAACAGCCACAAGAAATTTGAGCTCAAAGTTAAATTTTCAATGGGAAAAGGGACCGATAGCCGTCTTGAATCGATCTATACCAGCGAAAGAGCAGCATACTGTTGCTCAAGTTGTTGAAAGACATGTTTTGCCGTCAAAGCTGCCATGAATCCAGCTGAGGCCACCCCGTGAAGCACCATCCCGAATTTAAGATTTGTCAAAAGCCATTGTATTGAAAAGGACTAAATTGTTGATTTTGATTAGATCTTTGAATCTAAAAGAATTCATACATCATTTTCCGTTTTCCCAATTGCAATCAAATCCATGATAAGTATCGTCATGATAAACGTGGTGGTAATTGTAAAGAAAATCGCTCGACAAGCGGCGCCAGCTTGTTTCGCCTCTTTCAATCTAATCCATTTCCATCAAAGGTTTCAATTTTGGATTCATTTAAGAGTTAAAACTTTTCAAAAGCTAGTTTTTACGCATACGTGAATATCGAATACGTCAAATCGAGGCCACAAATTCGAACGAGCAACTGAAATGGACCGAAAAATCGCCGCGGTCTCAGAACCGGTGTTGAGCTCATTCTGAGTGAAATGAAATCGGTATTTTGAAAACAAATTTGAAAACAAATTTGAAAACAAATTTGAAAACAATTTGAAAACAATTTGAAAATAAATTTGGAAACAAATTTGAAAACAAATTTGAAAACAAATTTCCCGAATATGTTTAGCAGAGATTTTTCGAATGATTCAGAATTGAATCTGATCAAATTGTTTAATAAAATTCATTTGAATGCTGGGCAAGCATGCGAAAATCCCAAAGGTGAAGTTTCCAATTTCTTTCTTTGAAATTTCTTTTTTTTTTGCTACAAATTTCGTGGTGTTGCTAAGGAGATCGAACAATTGCAGGTAAATGGAAGTTCAAAGTAACGAGAAAAACAACAAAATGTTAATTAAAATGGCAAAAAGGCTTGGTTAAGTGATCTCAAATAAAATTTCCGTTGTTAAAGGGAAACGTTTGAATTTTTGAAGAATAAATCATAGCCAATATAAGATTGTCATGAGTGTAATATTCAGGATTGATGTAAGAAGATACTAGACCAGTATTACCGAACGTTACAATTTCCTTTGCAAAGCGATACTTTTAACCAAAGTCATAGCATCAGTCACTTTTTTGGGATAGTAAATCAATAAAACGGGATAGAAAGGGTAGTACTCCTCTCGACCGAGATAGGTGAAGGTTTAGGCTGTTTCTATAACCGATTTTCCAGGTAAAGCTAATTATTTCTTGACTGGACAAGTAGCCGGCGGCTTAGACCACTCGCCCACCCCGACAGAGCATTTTTCTCAGAGTCGAGCTCAGTTTTTTGATCTTTAAAATTTAAAAACTTACTCATTTTCAAAAACTAATATTACATTTTTAATCTAGAGACTTTGGGCTCTATTTTGGGTCAAAAAACATTTCTTAATCTGATCTTTCTTTCTTAATCTCTGGACTCTATCTCTATCTCAATATAGATGTCCAAAGAAAAAAGCTACCCAAAAATCTCAGAATTTGTATTTTTAGGAAAAACAGTTAAAGAGATCAATCAAATAAATGGGTTATATTAGAGCTACTAAAAAGTTGACTGTTTATTGTCAAACTTTCAGCTCGATCCAAGTTACCGTTGGGGAGATACGGCTTGGGCAAACGGGCGCACAGAGTCGTACCATTTTTCTCTCATAAAAAGTAATTAAATGAAGAAATTTTAATAGATAAAACAATGTTGTAACTAGTTGAATATTTTGCATGAATATAATCTATATGTTGTGTCCGTTTTAGATTTCCGTCCGATTTAGATTACAGTCTAAATCGGACACAACATATATAAGATATAGACAAAAAAAGTGACACTTGTTTTAGATGATCAGTGGTGATTGCATCTCTTAAATTCTTTATGCTTGAAAGAAAGAAAGAGAAAGAAAAATTTCAAGAAAGTTATTCGGTTTTGTGACTCGAATGAAAAGGTTAAAGAGAAATAAGTGGTATTTGGTCACAAAAAAAAAACGAGAGAAATTGATTTGGATCATTTTCTGAAGATCACTTTCTACGGCTTCTCTAAACAAACATTTGCAGTAGGGAACAGACCAATGAGACTTGAATAAACAAAAGTAAAAATGAGTAATTGATTTTGAATTAAGGAAATGGAAAGAGAAAGAGCTTTTGAAATGACTCACGAGCAAAAGCACTCAAAAAAAGATTATGTCGATTTTGAAATCGATGGTTTGTAAAATGTGGGAGTCACAAAGTGATCATCGAGTTTAGCATTGTAATATTGTGACATTGTGACATTGTGACATTGTGACATTGTGACATTGTGACATTGTGAAGAAATTGTCTGGGTCTTTAGAGACAACTGGAAACAATTACACACTGATTACTCATCACACTCACACTCACTCACCATGAATAAAGTATGATTATTATTAAACGGAAAAATTCAAAACTAATCTTTCTGCAGTAGTTAAGAAATTGCGCAAAATGGTGATCGAGTTTTGGAAATTGTAAAGAAAAATTTGAAGCTGATAAAATCTCAAAAACTGACCTTTCCTACAGTTTTCAAGTTTGATAAACATTAAAAAATGATCAAAATGATCATCAAATTTGAACATAATCAAATGTTTTTTTTTTAAAAACGAGGAACCGATTGAGTGAACTTTATCAAATGTAGACCTCATTTCAGCAGCTTGTTTACTGTTATTTGTTTGTGTTTTTTTTCGAAAAACATGCGCCGCTATTTACTTTATGAGGTCTGTTCTGATCTGAAAAGGAAAACAAATGAGAACTCATAGCTTTTTCATAGGAGATTTATGGGAATTGTGACAAGAATCGCAAGTATTTTTTGCGTAAAAGTAATTGTTTATTCGAGATCAGAGTGGTAAAATATTTAGACCTCTAGGCAGGAAAGTTGGTGAATTTGTTGTGTTCGAGGTTGGGGCGACAGTCATATTTGCTTGTGGGACAGTTGGAACGGTCGGGACGGAAGTGATGATTGGAGGGAGAGTTGGGGCTGATGGATCCAGGGGTTCGGTGGCTGTCGTCCATTGAGTGGTGGTGGTTTTCGTTGTGGTTGTTGTACTTGTTGTTGTTGGTGGAACGAATGGAGGTACAGGAGATGGGCTGCCTAAAGTTTTTTTAAAGGTGATTTTCTAACGTTTCATAGTAAAACGGCCAAGAACTAATCTAGACTGAATGCCGAATCTAGACTAAATACCGTAATCCAGCTAATCTAGACTGAATGCCGAATCTAGACTAAATACCGTAATCCAGCTAATCTAGACTGAATGCCGAGTCTAGACTAAATACCGTAATCCAGCTAATCTAGACTGAATGCCCATTCTAGACTAAATACCGTAATCCAGCTAATCTAGACTGAATGCTCAATCTAGACTAAATACCGTAATCGAGCTAGTCGCCTATTAGAACGCCTATTAGACGCCTATTAGAACATTGACCGATGTTCTATCAATTCAAATCCCTATTTTTTTCATGAAAAACGAGTTACGGTAGCTTTTTTTACGTTCCCCGCTAAGCTTAGGCCCCTGAGGCAATCAAAAACTCCTGGAAGCGACCTACTAAAGCCACTAATACGCCGAGGAGAAGCGGTGTATTACTGGCTCATTATTACTGGCACTGACAGTATTACACGGTCAGCAGACTCACTCCGTAGACCCAGGTGGGTTTCCCTCGAGGGTTTAGTCACTCCTATCACTTTCAAGAAGCCTCTCAAGAACCGACCAGGGGTCAAAAAGCTGACTCCCAGACCCCCTTTTGAAAGGCTCTTATTTTGGAAGTTCTTTTGAAGTCGATTCTCTAGACAAATTTGAATGAAACGTTGGCAAAAGCATCTACTGTAAGAGGTACACAAAAGCCGACTTGTAAAGGGACCAATTTCATCCAGAAAAGTCTCTTTTATAAGCTACAGAGGTTTACACTAAACTCAAGTCTAAAATACAACATTTACCTGTCGTTCTTTGACAAAGAAAAGGCAAATCATTGTCACAACTCTCAGGCACCCATTTCTGTGGTGAGACCAAGTTGGTCGTCGAAAGGGCATAACAGGCAGGGTCCATGTTGAGTGCAGGACCTGTGAAATAAGTTTAAATGCATGAAAAAAGATAGACTAAAGTACTTCTATCGTAGTCTAGTTGAGAAATTTGTATATCATCGATTATTTAAGCCACAACACTCACCAGCCAAATTGTAATAATCAACGATCGACGAGTCAGCCCAGTAGTACTGATTGGCGGTGTTATAGAGGCCAATCCACGCAGCCACACCCACTCCATCGGCTTTCAGCAGATTGAAGATGAAAATATTTTCCTGAAATTCTTAGATTTAATTTCGAAATTGATTACAAACTAAAATATTGTGGATTGAAACGAGATGTCCTCCCTGTTGAGCACAAATCGTTTCAGCAGCCAGCCATGAAGGGGCCGACGGTTGGTACTGAAATTTACTTTGTAGATTTGAATGCAAATCTGGATTCACCTCAAGCTCATGTGTGCTTTCAGTTTAAAGCTGTTACAGTTTATCTTTTATTAAACTGGAACTTGTTCTCAAAGTGTTTTTTTAATCTAATCGTACTTTATTTGATGTACTGAACTCTTCAACAACTACACTACTGGACAATGAAATATCATATTTGAAAAAAGATCGTCACTTTCGCGCGTCTGTAACTCCCTTGTCTTTACCGTATTTCTAAATATTAATATTACCATTGTGTAGCCCTTGAAAAGAGCTTTCAGAAAATGTATAACACTAATTGTTTAAACTCAAAGACAATGGAGTCACAGACGCGCGAAAGTGGCGATCGTTTTTCAAATATCATATTTCATTGTCCAGTACTGTAGTTCAAGCAAGAAAACCGAAGAACTCAATGAATGCGCGAGGAAGGGTGCGTTTCTATCGTTAGAGCATACATCTCAAAACGCTTTACTTACCTTGTAGCAATTTCCCTCGAATTCACTGTAGTCACCGCATCCAGGAAGGTCTAAAATCCTTTGTTTCAGTAAATATTTCTTTAAAGATTGAATACCTTTAGATATTTCTTCGCAAAGAGCATTATCAGTTGCTGAATAGCAACTTTTCGGTGTCCATCCATTGTAAACATCTCTAAAACGAGGCATCACCGTCAATCCCGCTTTCAACATCACGCAATTTTTTCCATTTGAAAAATCGGGATTGTCTGAAACGTTGCGATGATTTTATTGCTCTAGATTTATTGCTTTAGAGCTCTAAATTTGACTTTTGAGAACTAACTTTTAAAATTTTAAAGTAACTAAACTTATCAAAGTACAAGTTCTTTTAACTATTGAGATTTCTTGTTATCAATGCTTACTATTAAAATTCGAGTAATCAAATTTCGTTCCATCATCCCAGAAACAGTCGGATTGTGTGGTGCATTGGAGGCCAATCCACGCTTCTTCCCAGAGTCCCGATGAAAGATATTGAGCCATCGCATCGTTGTCGGCTATAGAAGTAAGTTTATTAATTAAAAATTTGAAAGAAAAAAAAAGTTTTTATAGCCACAAATACCACAGATTTACATTACAATGCTCATCATCATTTACCTGATTTATGCAAAGTGGCCAATTGTCCATTTTGTTGTTGGCACATGTCGGCGGCTTTAAAATAGGTAAAAGATCCTTTGATGATCTGAAAGAAGATTTTTAGCTTTAAGTTAAGTTACCGTAATTCAATTAGCATAAACTACCGTAGTCTCACCGTAATTCGCAACTTTCAAATCATAAGCGGGGTAGGCTAAATTACCTGTCGTTCTTTGACAAAGAAAAGGCAAATCATTCATTTTTTTTTTGCGCAACTCGCCATAACTTTCTTCTAAGTCTTCTAATCTTTCTTCTAATCTTTATGATTTTGTAGATCTCAATAAGTGGAACAAAATGAAACCAAAATCATAAAGATTGGTCCACTTAGAAGAAAGTTATGGCGAGTTGCGCAAAAAAAATTGCGGAAATTAGCCTACCCCTCATAAACGCATTAATATCCTCATTTTTCACCCACCTTATAGCATTTTCCATTCGATAACTGTGTGTAGTCTTTATTTTGGCAAACCGATAGGCTAACCCCAAGGAAAGCGCTAAAAATCAGTAATAACCGCATGATTGTACGCAAAATTTATTACACAGTTAGTCAAAGTTCAATAAATAGTGTCGATTTTTCTAATCTTTTCGATGAGCAATTCGTACGAATTTCAGAATCAGGAAAAAGCTTAAAAGAGGCTTATCTTGGAAGAGAAAACTCAGTGAAAGGAAGATTTAAGCTCAGAATCGTTGAACAAAAGAGAAGAAAACAAAATTGTCAGCACGGACTTCCGGGGCACAAATTTCTGTATGATATGGCTTCAAGACACTCGAAAATCTCGTTAGTTTGTGATGCATGAGTAAGTGAAAGCGCCAAAAAATAAATAAAACGACCACTCTGCTAGTGGGTTTCATTTTTTTTAACATTAGCCAGAAGACTTTTTTCTTGTGTTTTCTAAAGGTTGCTCTAAAGTTTGCTCTAAAGGTTCTAAAGGTAAGTACCGTAACTCAAGTGTATAAGCACAGTCCTTTTTTTGTTTTGAAGCAGGTGAATCATTTATTCTTAAAAGACATCAAAACAGCCAAGTATCGACGCTAGTATATTACCACAAAAGTAAATTACGAATGCACAATATTCAAATGAGGATAGCCGAGGAGAGAGAAAAACAACAAAAACAACACCTGAATAGTTCAGTACTTTACAAACACAACAGCTTACCGTTAACCCGTTTAGAAAGAGCAAAAGAGAGAAGACCGTATTTCTAGATTCAAAACAATCAATCACAGATTATGCATTCAAAGGATGCAAAAGAAACAATTTAAAGATAGAATGCACTAACGAGTGGATGAAATAGACTAGTGAATGTGTTTAGCGGTTTTTAACAGAAAATGGAATCCGGAATGCGTTAAAAATATCTGCATGAGTGAAGCATCGGGTCGAGAGAAGTCGAGCCGGCTTCGGGCAATTCGAAGTGATTCTTCGTCCACAGATCGGCAATGTGCACGTGTCGCGCCACCATCTTTTCCGCAGGAGCACCGACGCCTAAAGAAGAGACATTAAAATTTTCAAACAAAAAAAAGGCATTTGAATGTTAGCAAAGCCTCTAATGGTTAGATTTTTTTTTTGTATTGACACATTCAGGGTTTAAATTTTTAATAGACGATTCGTAAGCACAAGTAGTTAGTTTCTAAAACAAACAAGCAAAAGTTATGCGCCAAATCACTCAATTTGACCTAACTCTTTATTGTCGGCTGATCACGACTACTTTTGTCGAGATTTGTTTTGTTCTTCTCAAAATGGAGCCCCTCTCGATTTGCGGTCTCTCCCGGCTATCCGCCAAGCGGTTCTCCACCACTCAGGCTCTCTCCGTCGCTATAGCCGATGATTGGATTTAATTTCACATTTTTAATTTGCCTATTTTGTGCATTTTCCATGACTAGTTGTTATGTAGCTCCATCTTCACTCCTCCGTGACTCACCGAGAATGTTGAAATCGAGCAACAACCGGTACGTCCATTCTACGGTGAAAAATGTGGCCGCATTTGACGGGAATGCCCTAAACAGGTATTTTTAATAAAATTTCTAGAATAAAATTTTAATAAATACCTAAGCATCGTCGATCCAAGACCAGCATAAAAACCCCGCACTCCGCGTTCATGATACGTCTTCTTTATGCACTCCCAATAGGTCTAAATACTAAAACTTTAAAAAAAAACGACCAATCAAATCAAACCCGATATGAATCATCTGCTTGAAATCTTGTTTTTATCACATCAGCTGGGTAGTTGGGTAACCAAGAAAGCATTCCAGCCAGTCCTAAAACCATTAGAAGTTAACGCCTAGATTTAAAAACTTTTCAATAAACTTACAAGTTAGGTAAAGTTAAAGTTCCTAACCTCCAGCTGTTAGCACTTGTGGGGCGGTGAGCGACTCCATTGTTCCATCTTTGCTCATTCCTCGTGCCAACAAATCGTAAGAAGCTAAGCAAGCATTTAACTTACAAGTGACAAACCAATCAGTTAAAAATTTTTAATTATGCTTACTCTAATCACAAAACTTACTTTCTACTACTTTTTATTTTAATTTAACTTTATATTCTATATTTCTATTCAATGCTTTCTCTTCCTTTCAGGGTTTGTTAGCGCCTTGATTTTTTAATAATTATTTTTCTTTTAGATCGAGGTGCATGGAGCGATAATAAAGTAATGCCCTATCTCCGTCTTTATGCGTCGCTAACGAAATACGATCAAAACCTCAAAAAATTCAACGATTCACGAAAATGTCAAGAATGAACATCCGCACATGAAGCCACACTGAGACGGATCGAACAAACAACGAATAATTCGAAAAGGTGTATGACTAGGAGTTGCCCCAATAGAGACCTAGTTCCCACCTTAGCTTCCCCATGTAATCATTAATTGTATGTGTTTGCTCATTGTTTTTGGATTTTTTTTGTAAGATAAAGTGAGCTTAGAGCTCAATCATTAAATACCCAAAAAAAAAGAATACCAAAGTAGACTCCCCACGCCGGACAATCTCTTACAACTGTCATCATAAAGCCTCTAAAACGATCAAAATATGCAAATAAGACTAGTAAAGACAAACCGATTCATTGAGAGCAATCCTTTCTCAGCGACGAGCACCCGAGCGGCATGCATTGGACTCTTGTAGACGGCTGCTCGGCTGTCACTCTAAAATTCAATGAAGTAATTTTGTTTCCTGAATAATCAATGAAGTCACCTGTAGTTGCATCTTCAGTTTTACTCTTTCTGATGGAGCGGCGATGATTGATTGAGTAGCACCCGCGGCACATCCTCCCCAAAATTGTGCTCCCAAACTCTGCGGATCACGAAATTCCTAAAGATGAGAGTTTAGAATCGATTTAAAAATTAGCAAATTTAAAGTCGTTTTAAAACAGGTATCAGGTCTAGCAATTAGCAAAATTTGGTGCTAAAATGTAAGTGGCTAGGTTAGTTTGCGAAATCAGACTAGCGCTATTAGGTTATGCAAAACAACCTTGGTGACAGCGGATTGAACTCCAAAAGCAGTGGCATTGATGAGACATAAAGAAGCCAACGGTGACGTTAACCCTAAAAATGAAAGATATAGGTATAAATTTTTTTATACCATGTTTAAGTTGGTAATCTAGACTATAATTTCTAGCCGAACCTTTCAGTCTGTGGTAAAGCGCTAAAAATCACGCGCTTCTCACACTCAACGAGTGGATGTATCAGTTTTCCCTGCAACACTCAGTGCTCACATGTCATTGACAAACAAATGGATAGGAAGTGGGAAAAACACGATTATCACTGGTGATCAAAATATTTCTCTAAGAAATCCCTTGATCCTTTTTCATTCCAAATCTACTATCTCCTTTCTCTAAACAGTCTATCACCAATCACCATCGATAAGGTCATAAATCATCCAGTCTCAATACGCCTTTCACCGAAAAGTTTTCCTCTCAAAAATGTCCAAAGAAAGAAATGATGGAAAATCGATAACGATAAATTGGTTTGCAATTTTCAGAACTTGCATAAAACAAACCTTTATAAAGTCCAGTGAATCCCTCTTTTTTCACGATCAAACCAAAACAATGGAAGGTGCCTCTAAAAGAAAAGATTGTTTACGAATGGAAACAGCTTTGTATCAATTTTTCACAGCAAAAACAACTCTAATCCGTTTCATTTTTCATTAAAAATCATCCCACCGATAGAGGGGTGTGGCTCCGTGTGAGTGTTGTGTCTGCAATCGTACCTTCACAGTATCCATCGGATGTCCGGCCAACACACCGGCGGCACCTGAAAGCAAAAGAAATTATCTAGTTTGTAATTATTTGCTTATGTAGTTTTGAGGTCCATTTCCATTTTATCCATAATCTTATAAAACAACATATGCTAAGTTGCTATCAAATCCAAATGTTTAGCATTGACTAGGCTAGTCAGTAGTCTGTCAACGAAATGTGACGACAGGTGTCCAAAAGATCAACCTGTGGGAATTATTATGCATTGGCTAGTGGTGCGGTGCGGTCACGGAGATTCGTATCATGCCCTTAGGCATTCACGTGGATTGCTGCATTTCCTTGAAATCTTATGTAACGTGCAGTTAATTGTCTGCCACTATTGATTGAAAATGAACAAAAGAGATCAAATTGCTTTTCAAAGACTATGAAAACAAAAATCTGGAACGACTTCGTTGCTATTATTGAAGCCATCTAGCGACCTACAATAAACACACCTCCAAAACATCCGGCAACAAAATCGAGCGCATCAAGACCCATAGTTTATTAGAAATTCTGTGGATATAGCAGTAGTAGAAAATGATAGATATTAATGAATAGCCGATTGACGAATTAAATATTGACAAGTTATTAGAGTTTAGCAAGCTCGTAGGTCATCAACGACAATGGGGAAAGGCACACTAAGTTGCACGAGGAGTGGAAGTGGGAAAGGAAAAGGAAATGTCTTTCCCTCTTCGTCCAATTTGTCGTTTGATGGTTTCCTTTTTTGCAATAGAGAGGCAGGGAATGGGATAGAGTGATTGAATAGGGTGAATGATCAGGTAAGATGAGTGGGCGATTTGTGAGAGGTTGGTAGATGGGAGATGGGGTGGTGACTCCGCCCTTTTTTGATATCTCTAATAACTCCCCCAAGATCAGCACATCGTGATCATCGCATTCCGAGCAAATTTAGCATTGAGCAAGGTTAAAGTTGGGGGAAAGTGACGAGGTTGAGTTAAAGTGCAAAGTAGCACAGAATCCAATAAGGAAAGAGTTGCGGATGCCCGGTTGTTGGACCGTAATACAAACTATGTTTGAAAAAATCAAACTATACCTCCAAGATTGCCGGCAAAGAAGTGGACAAGACATTCGAAGTTTGGGTAGAGTTTTGCATCAATCGATTTGGGCTCGCTTGTCGAACTCTGGCTCAACTTCTCGGCACAATCACAATCGAATGCCTAAATTCAACAAATATAAAATGCAATAGACTTTTCAATTTTTTGAAACCACTAACAATAAAACCTCTATCTTTCACATTTAACATTGTTCGTTTTTCTTAAAATTGATCTTTACCCAGAAAAAAAAGATTACGGTCAACTTTGTAACCACACAAATTTGATCTCGTGGCTACTCGCAATAAAGGAAATTTTTGGGAAAGATTTCTAATAAAAATTCTCTTTTGATAAACGTCCCGAAAAGAAAAGCGATCCGCGATTGGCGGATTTTGGAGCGGATATTTTTTTTTTCTGTTCTATCAAAGTAAAAACGGAGAGCCGTAAATTTTGATTGAAAGAAACAAAAAAAGCACTCGAGGATAGAGCAACGAAGCGATTGGATAGTGCGATTTCTATGTGGATTACTTTTGAAGAAGATATTGATTGACCTTTTGGAGACATACTTGGTCTTTTCAAAAATGCGTTTGAACTACTTAAAAAGGGCTAAAAACATTTAAGTCCAAGCTGTCCCCTGACTCTCTTTGCACCAATATATGGCAAATGGCTGTTACACATATCACAAACGTTATAGCTGTTAACATTGATAAAACCTTACCTGCCATTGCACAACTTCCGGCTGTAAGGAGAGTTTCGCGTTGACTGATGCAGAGGCCACTTTTTTGTTGCTTCTGGAAAAGTTACACATAAATACATACCGTAAATACTGTAATAGTACCCCACCCCCTCGTACAGTCGCGTAGTCGCAAAAGTTTTTTAGTATTTCATTTTTTTGCAAAGCGCCCGTACTTTCAAAAAAATGCGTCTTTGGTATCAAAAAATAGCCCTGAATTTCAGCTATTTTTTGATACCTAAGCGCGCATTGTAGCATAAACCAGTGTCGAGAAAAACTTGTCCAAAGCTAGACTACGCAACGCTCCGCACCGTCATTATGGGGGTGGGGTACTATTACAGTATTTACGGTATAATAAAAAGGAAAAACATTACGTTGTACTTTGTGAAGAAATCGTGAAAGGGTCAATACGAGAAGCGAAAGAAAAATGGAAAAATGATTGTTTCCTGTTTGCTGTAAATTTATAGATTTTGCATAAATGCAAATTGCTAACAATAAGTCAGCAGCTTGTAAATTTTTAAATCTATTGATTTAATTGTAAAGGACCTTTGCTCATCTTTGTTTTTGCAAAAAGTCACGCTCTCGCATTTGATCAAGTGAAACTTTTGCTTTTGCACAATGTGTGCAAAATTGTGGTGAAAAAGGGAGTTGAAAGATTTTAAAAGTTAAAAGACCGGAAATTTGAATCTCGCAGAGTGAACCCCGTCTGAGCACTGACCAACCAGCACTTTTTCTCACAAATCTTCATTAGACTCTCAATGTCTGCTTATTTTTGGTAACACTCAACTTTTGAAGCACAAAATTCTCTCGCGAAAAGTATTTAAAGGAGCTGTTGTCGTTGGTTTATGTGATCTTTTGACTTCGTCTACTTGAGTTAATTCTCGGCAATTTACTCCATAGTTACTTGCTTTCAATTTTAAACTTGGCTAACTTTTTCAAGAGGCTCAAAGCTTACTTAATTCAGCTTCCAAAATGTTCTACCAAGGAAGCGTCAGTGTGATCATCAGCGGTGAATCGAACGAGCCTGTTCACTACTCACCTTCACCCGTTCCATTTCTACTAAATTTATTCCTCAAATATACCCCATTTCATGTAACTCCCATAAAACGGGCAAAATTAGTAAGTTTTCATAGAAATTTTCCTAAACAGAGATTTCAGTTGGAAAAAGTTTTTCGTCTTTCTTATTTCGTTGTCGGAATCGGTGTTCTTCTCGTGCCGATCGGATTATATTTTATGAATGATTATAAGGTTAGCAAAGCTATATCCAAGAAAAGTCCGATACTTAAAGATACTGTAAGACCAAGGTTGCAGGCGGAAAAAAGCGAAAACTTGAAATCTTTTAATCTACAAAGAAAAAGTCAACAAATGGGGCATTTACGTTTTTCCGCTTTTTCCGTCGCAGTGCGTAGCTGCCCGATTCGTTGGGTTTTGCTCTGAAAATCAAAAGATATTAAATCTTCCGTTTTTTTCCGCTTACAAGCCTATGTAAGACGTACAGTATCTTTAATTCTTTAGCTTTTATCAGCTCAAACATTTCAGATTTGGTCTCTCGACTGGTTCTTGAACTTGAACTTTGTCTGCTGGTCATTTATCGGTTTTTTAGCCGGACTTCAATTGACAAGGTTGCTTAAAACAATGCTGTATCCAATTGTATCAATTTCTAGATGGTCACTTGCCGGTCTCGAAACATCAATTCATTCAACAACCCGTAAATTCTCTGTCGTCAAGGTTTATTACAAAAAACATTTATATCAAAGACATTTTCAGAAAGATCTTCGAAAGGACACAAGCTGTTTAAATTTTCGTTTGAAATTCTTCATTTTTCCTCTAATGGTTCTCTCGATGAGTGTCTCATTTGCGAAAACGCCAATATTAGAGGCGAAAATGAATGGGTTAGTGAGCTTTAAGCAGAAAACATTTAAAGCAGATATATGAAATGAAATAGCAAAGAGTATCCGCCAAAATCGGCTAAAATGTCAACTTCGGTTTAATAGTGATTCAAAAACGAAGCAAGAGCGTTTACAGAGAAAAATTTTGGGGACACATTCTAAAATGCACTAGCTACCGTAATCCGCAATTTCCATTGCTTAAAGCACAAACAAACACAAAATAATATTTAAAATTGTTAACTATTTACCAAACTTTTAACCGGGACGTTATTGTTGTTTCTGTTGTTGTTTCGTTAAAAGTTTTGGCAATTCGACATTTGTATTCGTCCATCTCTCTGTAAAAATCATCAAAACAAAGCGAACCGTTCCAGAAAAAAATCAAAAAACCTTAACTTCTGTTATAGCAGTTGATCTTGATGAATTTGCGATGAAATGGCAAAGAAAAACGGTGAAAAATGGGGAGTGGGACAAATGCGAGCTTTTTTTTGCGCACCCGGACTTTTTGCACACCTTTTTTTCCGCACCTTGCCCATTAGCGCACCTTTTTTCGCTTTTTTCGTTTAAAAAAGCTCTAAAAAGCTAATATTAACCAATTTCTATTCCAAAAGTTGTTTTTCTAGGTAATTTTAGGGCGTAGAACCGAAATTTTGGCATATTAGAGCTTGTGGAAGCGAACGGACGGAGTTATACAAAGAGAAAAATCAACAATTTTCTGTAATTTGACCTAGCCATTTTGTCTTTCAAATTGGTTCCACAAGCTCTGTTATGTCAAAATTTCGATTCGACACCCTCAAATTACCTAGAAAAACAACATTTGGAATAGAAATTGGTTAATATTAGCTTTTTAGAGCTTTTTTAAAACGCGAAAAAAGGTGCGCTAATGGGCAAGGTGCGGAAAAAAAGGTGCGCAAATGTCCGGGTGCGCAAAAAAAAGGTCGCATTTGTCCCACCCCCGAAAAATGAATAAAAACAAATGGAAAATGGCTTTAAGCAATGGAAATTGCGGATTACAGTAGCTTTTGCTAGTGCATTTTAGAATGGGTCCCCAAAATTTTTCTCTGTAAACGCTCTTGCGTCGTTTTTGAATCACTATTAAACCGAAGTTGACATTTTAGCCGATTTTGGCGGATAACGCTCTTGCGTCAAAAACGTAGCATTTGTTTTCATTTCAAAATTCCAGATGGATTCCCCGAATCTCCCTCGCTTTTTTGTGCATTTCTTTATTCACTATCATTCTTGCCATTTCATTTTATGCTTATTTCTGTGAATATTTAAATGAAAAATGGATATCTTTCAACAAAGAGATTAAAGAGGCTGACACCACAGAACTCTTCAAAGTTTAGAAATTTTATAGACATTTATGTTCAAAATTTAGTATGCAGATCTCTTGGGAACAGTCGTCATCCGTCACTCTCAACTCCTTTCACTTTTCAACGAAATCTGGCAAAATAGTGCAACTTTTATTACTCTGACCAGGTTCTTGATGAGCTGTATTACGGTATAAGATAAATTGTTTTGAAAAATTGATTCTTTTAAGTTCTCTGGCTTATTTTCTGTTTTTCGTTATTCTCAAACACTTTCACCGCTCGAATGGATCCTTTTGTGCAGTTGGATTGGACTTTCCACGATCATTTTGTTCAATCTGAATACGGGAAAGGAAAGGATTGTCAAAAAAGTGAGTGAGAAATGTTTGGGGAGAGGCTATTTTATAAGATTTTACCGATAAACACAGTAGGAACAGTCGGACAAAAGGCTGATCTTGCTAGGTTCTGGATTGTAGGATCTAGAATCCGATTGGAACATTACATTCCCCATTCTTTAGATCCTACTCATTAAATACTTGCTACCTAAATTTGCATTTAAAGAATCATCAAACCTTTCAATATTTTTCAGATTCTCGAAGCCGAGACTCTCATCCTCTCGGAGACTTCAATTTGGACAGAAAAACAAGAATCAATCAGTCTAGTTGCCACCGGAATGATCCAAAGAAGTCAACATTTCAGAGCTGTAAGTAAACTAGAGCCATATTGTTGGCAAAATGCACTTGAATTCAATAGGATTCAAAAAGTTTGAACAACAATGATGACGTCAATGGGAAATCGGACATTTATTTGGCCAAATATTTGCCATCGATCGTCGAAATTTCAGACAATTTTCGATCACTTTTTAGTTGATCTCCTCGTGGCATTCGAATGGTTTGAATGGAGTGGGAGATACGTCAATTATTGTGAGTTACAATCATACCTCGTTAGTAAAAGAACTCAAGGGAGTTAAAAAAATCGATTTACTATTGAGGTTAAATTCAAATGTTTGTTTTTTTTTCAAATAGGCGCTAGAAAATCTATTTTTTTAAAAAGAGTTTTCTACTAACAAGGTTTTATTGTAAATGAAGAGCTTGTAGAAGTCTCAGCATAAAAATTTGATTCGAAAGACATTTTTTCTTGATTGAATGAGGCTTTAAATTAAAGGATTTTTAGTAGAAATGAAGATTAGACTAAAGATGAAACATTCAGAATAAAGATAAAGATTATAAATTGAAATATACGTTTAAAAATAAAAATCTAGACTTTAATTTAAAGCTTTTCCAACTATTTCGATTTCAGATTCTTTTCTCATTGATCATCACCGCGTATCTCTTCTCGAGTTTTCATCTTCAGATCATCTTAGCTCAATATTTTGAACTCAAAAACTTCTCCAACTTGTTTTCCATCCAAATTTTGATTACCTAATTGATTTATTAAACAAATTTATTAAACAAATTCATTCAATCAGTTAAACTGTTGTGTTAAAGAATTTTTTTTTTTTGCTTTTATCAAGCTTTTCCGTATCTTTTATAAATTTTCAATCATTTATTATAAGAAAAGAAAGTTTCTACAAGGTAAAGAAAGGAAGCAAAAAAAATAAATGCAACCAGTAAGTGATAAGTAAACAAAGGGAAAAGGGATTAAATATACAGAAAGAACGATTTCTCTGGTAGAAAAATGACTAAAAAGTCGAATTTCGTGAAAAGTAGAGAAGAACTAGCGTAAGATTAGGCAAAGATTTTCACAAGACAAACAAACAACAAACTTTAATAGAAATTTCAGCAAAGTTTCTTAAAAAACTCGTTTTTTAATTTGCATCATTGACTGTGTAACCACAAACGATTCCCGTTCCATTTACAGAAACCTGAATATTTATTGCGTAAAGCACTTGTTTGGCTTTAGTTTGTCTTTGGCTTGTCTTTTTAAAATATTGCATGTCAAATATCAAAAGTACTCACTCGACCCAATCCATTTCCACATGGGATTCGCGGGAAATCGCACGGATTCGCGTTGCACAACGTCCATTGCACGAATGGACCTCTGAAAATAAAGGTAATATGTATTTTCTACATATGAAACTATGACACAGAACTAATTGTTAAGTCTTACTGGCAATTGCAGCCCGTCGTACAAGCTCGGATCATCTTTTGCACTCCATATCCACCACAAGTGTCATTGCACGATCCTCTCAACACCCACGGAGTGTAAATCTCTTGGCATTCAGCGTAGACAGCAATGAAGAAAAGAGTAGACACTAAAATAGATCATCAATCGAATTTCCTTTTAGTTTTTAACTGGCGCTAAACTTTTAGATACGGTAAAATCGAAATCACACTACTTTTACTAATCTAAACTAATCTAATTCAAAATTCTAATTCAAAACACTTACCAGCCAATCCAAGAAGAACCTGCTTGTTCATTTTGAATTTAATCAAATGTTTCTGAAAGGTGAAAGCTTTGAATTGTTTAACAAGTATTTTTGCGAGGATTAAATACTAAATGGCAATCAGATCGGTGCAGAATTTCGTGAATAGTTGAGGGAAATGTTTGCACAGGAACTGTTCACAGCACGATTCCCGAGTGCATCCATCAGTTCAATTTAGAGAAATGACCGGCTAAACAACTCATCGGAAAAAGGGGAAAAGAAATTCTTGTAGATTATTGAACAGCTCAACGATCGGATCACGAAAATGAGGGCAAAACAGAACTAGAGTTGAGGAGGAGGGATTAATGAAACAATCGGAAAGGAAACATCTTAAGAAGCTTGTATCGGATAGGTTTAGAATGCTTCTTTTTTTATTTTATTGAACAAGTATGGTTTAAAGTCAGAGTTTGTGTTATGAATGGCTATTCCAACTGGGTGCTGTAGCTTGTAGGGCAGGGCAGAAGCCAGATTTCTAAGCGATCTTTGGCTGGTCTCTAGAAAATTGTCTTTGAAAACTAAATAAACTTTTCTTTGAAAAAACCATGTTTTAAAACCTTAAAAAACACTTGTCGGGAAATTACTGTAGCTAGACGAAAAGCTAGACGAAAATTTTCTAAAGAGTTTTTCTAAAAAAGCGACCGTTTCAAATTTCTTCGAACAAATCAATAAATCTATTTTATTTTTATTTTTTCATTAATTGTTAATGTTTTACATTGTTTCTTTATTAAATGTTATTTAACTTTTATTTTTTAGATAATGGATTGATGGAAACCGCTTTCTGCGTACGAGAAAAGCTGAATTGACGCCCGAACGGTGGATTGATCAGGGAAATCGTCGTTTTTTTTTAAATCGTGCATCAGACTCTGTTCACAACTGCTTGAAAAACAATGGCAACTCTATTCCTGGAACTCGAGGACCAAAGTTTCTGGAAACCGCTTTCTGCGTACGAGAAAAGCTGAATTGACGCCCGAACGGTGGATTGATCAGGGAAATCGTCGTTGTTTTTAAAGCGTGCATCAAACTCTGTTCACAGCGGCTTGAAAAACAATGGTAACACTATTCCTGGAAGTCGAGGACCAAAGTCAAAGCTTACGCCACGAGGAAAGCGACAAATTGTCAACAATTGTATTAGATTGCCAGTCTTGCTGTAAGTGCTCACATTTAGCAGAGACAAACTCTAACTCTGAACATGCATTTTGAATGATGATTTGTTTCTGTATCGACTGAAAAAACAAAGATTGTTTGAGTCTTTAAATCTTTTTACTAGCATTTAGAACTGTGGTTTCACAATCTTAAACGATTTCGAAATTCAATTTTTCACCATCCCCATCATTGACCCCTTCTCGTACTTGATTCACCCTCTAACCGTTCAAAAATCCCTCATTCCCCAATTTCCATTAATAGCTTTTTCACTGCAAAATCTGTTCAATAATTGTTCAAATAGACATTCGCAATTTTGCAGCAGAAGAAGTAGAGAAATTTTGCTTCCGGACGCGTAAAAAGCTGCTCTCCAAACGTGGCTAACGATTCAACGATTAATTCAACAAAATTGATGGGACGAACACGAGAAAAAGCTGAATAAATATAGGAATTTTGCTATTTTTTGCTAAAATTAACCATTCTGTGGAGAGGGAAGGCTTAGGAAGAGCTAGCGGGAAAAAAGCAGGTGCTTTGATGATCCAATGGGGAAACATGGGCTTGAGACGTGGTCATTTGGGTGCAATTTAAGGAAAAAGGATACGTTTTAGTTCTATTTTTCGAGACTAAAGATGTGTAGTATGATTCTTCAACGTATTGTAAACTTCTTTCTTTGGTTTTTCAAACCAGATAAATAAATCAATTGATTGGGTGTCGGATGAAAGTGGCGCTCGAGAGCTAGTCTATCTTGCAGAGTAAATGTAATGTTGGCCTTAACTAATCAATTGATTGGGTGTCGGATGAAAGTGGCGTTCGAGAGCTAGTCTATCTTGCAAAGTAAATGTAAAGAGTAATATTGGCCTTTACAAGATCGTTAAGTTCCTCAAAAACTTTTTTAAATTCATCAATTTATCTTTTAAACGTTTATTGAACGCTAAAACATAAATATTTACAAAAGATTTGAAATTTTTGCATAGAAACGAGTGAAATGAAGGTGATTAGGCGGGTCCGCAATAGACAACTCCGGCAGCTGCATCGGTTTGAAGGGTGAGTTTCTAAAAAGATTTTGGTACTTTGTGAGTTGGGGGCACCTATATTTTTATTTTTTTTCACTTTCTAGGGGTAATCGAGGGCACTGAGCAAGAATTTGACAGTTTTAGCTATTGGGTTTTAGTTTTTGCCCCTATTGGGGCAATTTTTCAAGGTGAAACCTAGAGCCAACACTATTTTAACCACTAAATATACATTTTCTAGGTGTTTGTTGATAAGCAGAGATTTCTGGGGATGACGCTCAAAGACCTCTGCTCATCAACACATCAGGATTCCAAAAAACACACTATAGAAGCGCGCACTTTTGAGCCCCGAAACTTGGCTTAAAACGCATTTTCCCAAGCTCTCGTTGTGTTTTTCGGAATCTACGCATAAAACTACCCAAGGAAAAGTGGTTTTGAAGAAAAAAAAAGTGTCCCCAACCTTAATAGCGCCTAAAACGTGTCGAAATGTCGGTTTTTCAGTTGAAAACCTATGCTAAAATTGTAAAATTCGTGCTCAGCACCCCCGATTACCCCTAGGAAAGTCAAAGAAAAGTGAAAAATTGATAAAGTTTTCAGTTTTCGATTTAATCTTTGAATAAACAACCGTTCCAGCTTTGTTCGTTCCACAAGCCGCATTGTTGCCGAAACCGCATGGTTGTGGGTTACAGTTGAATGTCGTTCGTTCAAAACCGGTGCCACTGTAAAATATAGGAGATGATGGAAATTTGGAAACAACTCACGCAGCATTGGTTCTCTTGTATGTGGCCACTCCTCCACCGCCGCATGTTTTGAGCAACTCGTCACCGGGAACCACGCTCCTTGGCAATTAATCACTGCGATCAGCACTGAAATGAGAGAAAATGTAAATTTACATTGTAAAGATACAAAAATTTACTCTAAACTAGTTTTGGTTTCTTTGTGAGGCAACAGAAATCTAAATTCTATCAGATTCTACCAAATAAAGATTAGACTTAGCTTCGATTTCATCTTATGATAACTCTCTTATCTTATGATAGCTCTCAATCTTATGATAGCTATTATAGCTCTATTAAATCTCTATCAAATCTCTATTAAATAGCTTTCTGATAGCTTGGATAAGCTATGAAAAATTGGTGAAAATTCAATGAGGCTAAATTCAATGAGATTTTTCTTAGACATTGACTATAAAGATGACTTTTATATAGTCAACGTCTAATCAAAACTAGATAGCTTTCGAAATTTGTCATGTTTCCGAAAGCTACTCAAATTATTGGGTTGATGGAAAAGTCCTTTCCGATTTTTTGGGAGAGTACCTTAAATTTGTCTCATTTTTTGGCTCTGCCGCCCTTTACTAAAATAGCTGTAAAAACTTTTAGAAAAGAGATATCTCAAAACGGTTTTTACCAATCGATTCGTCTTGAATTCAGCTTTAGGATGAGCTATAAAACGTCAAAATTCGACAAATTTAAGGTACTCTCCCAAAAAATCGGAAAGGACTTTTCCCAATATTAACGATTAGAATTACTTAAAAGGAACAAAAACTTTCAAGTATGAAGCTCTAAATACACAATAGAATATGATATTTCAAACTCACCAAGACAAATGAACGCCAATCGGAGTAGAGACATTTGTGAGTGGCGTGAATGTTTTCGATCTTCAAAATGTGTGTGATTTCTCTCGATGATTGTTGTGTATTTATAGTGTTTTCATGTTCTTTCGCCTCTTTCCCTCTTTTCATTTAAAATTCTACCCTCAAAAAGCGGGCATTGTTATTTTTTTTTCAGTTATTTGATCAGAACCCATTTTTTGGCATCTGATTTGAAACGTCAAAAGGGGGAAAATGGAATCAAACATGATTTTAATAGGTTTTAAATTTCGGGAAAAGTGCCAGTCTGTGTCAGAGTGGATTTTCTGGAAAAGTGAATTTATTAAGCTGGTGTTTGAGCTTTTAAACTTTTTCGTTTCAAAGAAAATGTAAGGTAAAGTAAGTAATTTTGATAGAAAATCAGTTTAGCTGTTTAACTGAATATTCAATATGAGATTTGTCTTATTAAAGATACCGTAAAGTTTCAACCTCACTAAGTTAACATTAAAGCTGACATAAAAGTACAAATTCACTTATAAACGAATTCATTTATTTATTTAGTATTTATAGTTTCTTTAGATTTCATTCAATTAAAGCATTCCATTTTGATGATTGAATATCTTTCATTTCAGCATGCTAAAAGATGTTAAGACTGCTTGGGTGACTTAATCGAACTGTCTAATCTCTCCCCATCATCAGAATGTACTCATCATCAGAATGTACTCATCATCAGAATGTACTCATCATCAGAATGTACTCATCAGAATATACTCATCATCAGAATATACTCATCATCAGAATGTACTCATCATCAGAATGTACACATCATCAGAATGTACTCATCAGAATGTACTTATCATCAGAATGTACTTATCATCAGAATGTACTGTACTCATAATCAGAATGTACCAAATTATTATCCGCTTAGCCACTTTAAAGCTTTTCTACCAGATTATCGCTTTTTAATAAGGTCTAATCGGTGAAACGGCTTACTTCCGTATTTGACGCACAACAAATTGCTGCCGGGTCACGTGATCTGGAAACAAAACACAGTTTTTGTTGAAAGCACTTTCATTAGAGCTTGCTTTTCAACAGTTTACTTATTTCTTAAATTCCAATTTTCTACAATTTCCCAAAACAATTCTCCCGTTCCCCCATTCCCCCATTCATCCAGCAAATCATTTGAAACATTTGTGAGGTCATCAAATAAAAAACTTTCAGACAGTGAACAAACACGAGCGATCATGTGGTTTAATAAAGGGAAAATCTCTTGGCATCACATGGATATTTGAATATTTTGATGACATTCATCGAAATGTTTTCTGGCTTTGGATGGCACGGAGTAAAGGGTTTACGTAGAAAATTGGACATTGAAAATGAATGCGTTATTTAACGACTTTATCTAATAATGAGAGCTAGATGAAAGTACATTGTTAGTCGATTCATAATTCGTATAGCTTAAGCTAAATTGGAATGCGAGTTTTCTCATCAGAATCAAAAATAAATGAAAAGACCAGATGCTAAAATTGAGCGAGGAAAATCGTAAAAGTGTTCATGATTTGCGTAAAGTTTTGGCTTCTGGCATATTTAATTCTCTGTTTTTTAACGATTTTTGGGTACTCATCGTTAGTCTAATAGTGATTTCATCACACAAAAAATAAGTTCAATGTGTCCAACTCTTTCAAATGTTTGACATCAAAAGTCACATTTCCAGACAGTCATCCGATCTCATTTCTATTCCTTTTGAATCTTTTTAATATTTTCGATTTTGAGTTAAAAAGAGCCAAAAAAATGTTTCCAAAAGCCAAAAGCTAGCCTTTGCCTCATTATTACATTTCAAATTTTTTAAAAATCAAAATGTACCACAGTGTTTGTGGTCGACAAAATTGGCTTTGATCTTTAATTGGCTTTGATCTTTATCCAGAGCATTTAATGCAGAAAAGACTCGAAGAAGTATTTATCCGATTAACAAAAGAGTTTGTTTTCATCGCAATTCCAATTCTGATCGTTTACAAACCATTCCCGAATCCGCAATACCAGTTCGTTCCATAGAGGTACTTGGCAAGACCCTGGAAAGCATTGAATATGAATTGTTTGAATTTTTATTTGAATTGCTTTGGATTGTTGGATTGTTGGATAGATTTGTTAGTGTTCAATAGGCAGTACGTTTCAGTACGATCCGAGACAGAAGTCACCTTTTAACCAGGTTCAAGGACTTCTGCACCTTTTGCAAAGCCAAGCCAAGAGTTGGCTTCTAACCTGCACTTGGTCCGGGAAATTTCTTTTTAAAACAACACTAACTATGAGGGCTACTTATTAGATAATTTCAGTCCAATTATCCGTTATATTTTGTGATTTAACTCACCACAGATGTATCACAAGTCGCTCGCGGGAAAGCACACAAAGCTTGGGCACATAGGGTGTACATTGTGAAGGGACCTCTGGAAAATAAGAAAATAAGTTATTGTTTCTCTTTGTATACTTACTGGCAAGTGCATCCTGTCACACATGCTCTAATCAATTGCATTTGTCCATATCCTCCACACGTATCATTGCACACTCCCCTCGTCAACCATGGAGTGTATTTCTCGATACAAGTGCCTGATGTGCTTGCGGCTGGGGTCGAAGCAGCGGCAGTTGCTAAACAGAGAAAGCAAATCGTGTGCAATCGTCTATGCACATATTCAAGAAGCGTAAATTTGTCAAATCTATGATGAAGCGAATCTGCATCACTCACTCGGAACAATTGACGATGACTGTGATGATGTGAGAGTGATGAGAGCTGAAAAATAGTTGTATTTTAAAAAATACAATATAAAATGTTGCTCAATGTATATTTAGGCTTTGCTGCAATTTGCTTTACATTTTTTTGTTATGTAAAACCTTTCTTGAAATTAGTTAGCGTACTAGCTTAGCTTAACTACTAGCGTAGTAGACAGGTAACTTTCCAAGCTAGGTTTGTATGTAAATTAGGAGATTTCATAGGGTACATTGTATCGCTTATTACTGAATCTTCTAGATCAAATTTAAGTAAAGCTATTGTCAATTTCTCAAAAAACCTTACCAAAAACGGTGATGACGATTTGCGTAGAGAAGGCAGTGTTCATCATTGTATTGTACTGATTCAAAAGTAATTGCCGCTTGGCCGCCCCGCTTTCCCCAAGAAGGAGTTTAGCTATAAATACTGAAATTTATGATATAAAAAATGGCAGAGATATTTTAGGTCAAAGCTTGATTTTGAGGACATTGGAGAGAGGTTTAAGAAAAAGATTTCCCTTGAATGCCACGCCTTTTCATTTCTCCCTGCTAGAACCCCTTCAGATTTTGTTGATTCAGCTGAATTTCCCTTTTTTTGATTTGAAATGCTGAACATTGAAGAGTTTACGACAAAAAACTTTCCTTTCCTAATCGTCCAACGATTATCCACTGTGGACAAGAAAAAAGTTTGAAGCTTTCACTGGGAATTGTTGATTTGGTCAATGACTTGGTTGTGCTATGATCCAATCAGAAATCATAGCGCAGTTTTTTTGGGTGCAAACAAATACCATTGCAGGGATTTGTACGCATATGTGACATGTGACATAAACATATTATTGAGGCTAATGGACTCTAGTTTGCTTATCAGGTGAGTCTTTTAGCTTAGCATCCTAGTTTGACAACAATTAAACCCGAGTTTCATTTGGTAGACTCAATAAAATGAATAGCGCCAATCGATTTCCCTGAAAATCACGGGTACAAATTCACAGCCGAACATCTTCTTTTGTACCATCTAAAAGGCAAAAGAGGAATGCTTGTAATGACCGAGAAGATGTTCGGGAAAGGACGAGTCTGCGACTCAGCCTGTTTCCTCGATTTGGGCGTCATTATGCTCAAATTCCTTGCCCCAAATTTGGCTGTATCTCCACAAATTTCACATCGCACCAAACCAAGACAATTGGTCCCAGCGAAAATCAGTTCCAATTTGGGTCTCTTCTTTAAAATACCAAAGAAATTTGAAGAAAAATACTTTTTGTTGCTAACCAAATGTTGTCTGGAAAAAGGAAAAAACGAGAAAGCCAATAAAATGAAAGAAAATATGTGACGTCTGTGCAATGTGATCGCTGAATGGATAAAAATCAAACAAGAGCACACGTTTTACGAGGTAGTCTTCAGAAAGATTCATGGGATCTTCGTTTTAATAAAGTTGTTGGCTATGAGTTTTGAATATTTTACTGAAGCAAAACACAAAGAAATCTTTTGGTCAGTCTTGCAAATCGAATTAGATTTATCTATTTTGCTATCGGGTAATTAAACAAAAGCCATCATCAGATTTCAGTTTTGCTCTTGAACGTATCAAAGTTTGTTATCAAATCAATTTTGGTATTTGGGCAATTGAGCTAAAACCGAAATGTTCTCATTAGATATTCGGTAATTCAACCGAATAACCATTTTCTCATCCCAGTTCCCTTGATGAACATTTTCCCAATTGCAACTCCAATACTCTCTAACCAATAAGCATTGGGTGATTGAACCAACTCGATTTCCTCAATCTAGTTGTCTCAATGATCGCTTCAAAGTTTGTTTCTCATCTCGTGATCAGATTTCCCAAAAGCCAGGCAAAATCCTAATCTACTCGGAAGTAAATGTTTGACTGTGTGTAGAAAAATTGCTCATATTTGCTTAAAGTTTGGCTATCCACGAGTGCGCACAACTCGATTTTAGTCTAGCGGTTTTTTTAAGGACAAATCCGATTTGTGTAAACTGAAGGGTCAGAGGCAGACAAATCGAAAGCAAAATGAGGATTTTTGACTATTTACACACATACACACATTTCTCCCAGCCGATCGTTTGCGAATTTTTTTAGCCACGGAAATAGACAAACTTTTTAGACTTTTGCAAAAATTTTCCAATTTGGGAGCGATTGGAAAGTGAAAAAATTTCTGTCTCCCGTGTCTATGGGAGTTTGAAATGAAACGAAATTAGATTTGGTTTATGATCTGGGTCATTATTGGCTGCAATGCTTGCAAAATTGCATAGGTTTTGCAGACTAGCAGACGATTCCAGATCACTAAACATCACATGAAACAAAGGAACTAAAAATGAGTTTGGTTTTGATTGCGTGACTTGTGAAAGTTGACCTGTTAGATTTGTTAGTGGATGTAGATTTAGTTGAAAAATGATTGCCTTTGTTTTATTTCGTTCAACTCAACTCAACACAACTCAGCCAGCAAAGCCAGTAGTCGCAATTCTCGTCTCCCTCAAGACGATCACTGAAATAGAGGTAATTGGATATAAAATTCAACCTTGGATGTATCTATCATTGGGTGTCTGGCCTGCCAACTACCGTACTCTAAAAGGGTATTTCACTGAACTAGACTTCATGTGTTTACAAAAAAAGACCCAACGAGTGTCGCACATCGCCAACATAGACCTCCTTTGTCGTTCCCCCTAAAAAACGTTTGTAAAACTAGATTCGGCAAAATTGATGGCAAAGTAACTGTATTACTTATATATGTCGTAGCCGATTATGATATTGAAATTTTTGTCAAGGTTTGTGATGAATGCGAGCTGAAGAAGGGTATACCCAAGTAAGGAATTTTTATAAAACCAATTGTGACAAAAGAACAAAATGAGCGATGTCAGATCGATTTGGTTGACCTTCAATCGGTACCCGACGGTGACTACAAGTTTTTGATGATTTACCAGGATCATATCACAAAATTTGTAATCCTTCGTGCATTAAAATCAAAAACAGCGTTTGAGGTGGTGAATCACTTGATGGAGATATTTGGAACTTTTGGAGCGCCAACGATTTTGTAGTCGGACAATCGGCGCGAATTTGCCAACAAAATGGTAAGCTTTTTTTGAATTATTTTATTACATTTATCTATTGCAGTTTTTCAATAACTTTTTCTTTTAGGTTAAAGAATTAGTGAATCGTTGGTCAGGGTGTCAAATTGTGCACGGGCGACCACGACACTCGCAATCACAAGGATCCGTTGAAAGCGCAAATCAGGATGTTGAGGTTAGTTAGTTGTGCGGAAGGAACATTTTTTAGCTAAAAACAATATTGCATTTAGAGAATCCTTTGCACTCAACTACGTGAAGAAAAATCTACAAGGTGGGCCCGAATTCTTCCAGTTGTGCAATCGATGAAGAATCGGCGATTTCATCGAGGGATCGGACGTTCGCCATTTGAAGCAATGTTTGGTCGGAAGATGACACTCGGCTTTGAAAAAGGAGAGCTACCAAAAAATCAAGGTGAAAACGAAAATGAGGTAATATATTTATATTTTTTATATTTTATATTTTTGTTGATTAAATTTATTCGTTTGCTTCAGGTCGACGAAAACGAAAAATTTGACGACTGGAGTGAATCGATTCGAGCCGCAATCACAGAAAATCCAACTTTTCACAACTTCCGGACACAAGTGACGAAGCGGACGAGGAGTTCGAGAAGGCGATGGGTAAGTCATAGTATTAATGCTTTATTGTAAAGTTAGTTTAATATTTGACTAAAGCGAAGTTTGATTCTTTCAAGCGAGAAATACGCGGAAATCGTCACCGTTCTCCAACAATTGCGGAATGAAGACTTCAAACCATCGAAAAAAACACAAAAACTTCTAGTGCGATTCTCTCTTCGATACGAATTGAATTAAGAGGTGCTTTACAATCATGGGATCAAAGGCGATTTGGAAAAACCCAAGAAAGTCGTCAAGAAAGAAGAGCTCTTTGGCCTGTTAACGACCACTCACCAACGACTTGGGCACGCCGGACGAGATATAATGTGGCAAGGACTACGAGATTATCATGGGATCTCAAAAGAAGTAATCGAAATTTTTGTCAAGTTGTGCCCAGAATGCGAGCTCAAAAAAGGAACACCAAAGAAAGAAATAGTCGTGAAGCCAATTGTTACAAAGGATTTCAACGAGAGATGCCAGGTGGATTTAATCGATCTTTAATCCGTTCCCGATGGAGAATTCAAGTTTTTGATGGTCTACCAGGATCATTTCACAAAGTTCGTCGTTTTGCGGCATTGCAAAGGAAAACACAATTTGAAGTTATCGATCATCTAATGGAAATATTCGGAACGTTTGGAGCCCCAAAAATTCTTCAGCCCGACAACGGAAAGGAGTTCGCCAACAGATTGGTAAGCCTTTACTTTTGTCTCCTATCGAATTTCTTTATGACGCTTTATTTTGTTTGCTTTTAGGTCAAAGAACTCGTGAACCGGTGGTATTATTGTTTATTTTTGTTTTATTATTGTTTATAAACTCACTTTTTTGGTATTATTGTTTATTTTTGTTGTTTAGTTTGGTCGAAAAATGCAACTACAACTAGAAGGCGTTTTTAGCTTTTAAGCACCTTTTAGAGCACTTGAGTTTGTGGTATTGACTTGAGTCAATACATAACTCAAGATTTCATTTTTGAGACTTAATCGGCTAGCCGAAGAAGGTTTCGCTAGCGAAAAAATTTGAGACTTCATCGGCTACGATATATCAAAAAAGTAGCACAAAGATTAAATATTTCAACCTTTAAGATGCGTATTTCGGTGTGATTTCACGTATAGATAAAGGCAAAATTTGAAAAAATTTCCATTTGAAGAGTTTCCCGGCCGCGGATGTTTCATTCTTCCGCATTTATTCTGCGATTTCTTTTCTGTTTTTGCTTTCACCAATTGCCTTGAACGTACTAATTTCGTTTCTTTAGCAGCCAAAATGCTCAAGACGGTCACCTTGTGCGCCTTGCTCGCCATTGGAATCTTCGCATCGGCGAAATTCGAAGAGGAGGAGAATGTCATCGTTCTCACAAAGGTTTGTTATATTTAATTAGCATTTCGGCACTTTTTTGGTTTGCCCTCCCCCAAACATCAGCAAAATTTTGGTACTACGCCGGTTAAAGTTTGTAAAAAAAATTTATTCTGCTCCAATTTGATCAGAAACGTAATCAGTGGGTTAAATTATGCCAGAAGAAGTGTTTTTGGCTTAAAAAAATGTTTTGAGAGACCATTTTTAGACCTCTTCCCTATTTGTATCGCTCTCATCACACCGTATGAGCGCACACTTTTGTGCTCCGAAACGTGGCTTAAAACGCATTTTCCTAAGCGCATGTTGTTTTTCGGGATCTACGCATAAAACTACCCCAGAAAGAGTGGTTTTGGAGAAAAAAAAGTGCCCGCTCAACCGGCGTAGTACCAAAATTTTGCTGATGTTTGGGGAGGGGGGACAAACCAAAAAAAGTACCAGCATTTCTATGACCTTTTTAGCTTACTTATTGCTATTTCATTTAGGAAAACTTCGATGATGTCGTGAAGAACACGGAATTCGTTCTCGTTGAATTCTACGCTCCATGGTGCGGGCACTGCAAGGCTCTTGCTCCCGAATATGCCAAGGTATCGCAAACTTTTTGTCTTATTGTAATCTTTAAATCTAGTTGTCAAGATTTATCATTAAGCTGATCACTTTGAATTAAGTAAAGCTGAAAGACTGAATAGTTAGTTTAGTCAAAATTAAGAAAAGCATAGCATTGTATTGATGTCAGCTAAGTCAACCGGAGACCCTTTTTGTATTTTCAGCTTTCATTTTTAGGCCGCTACTCAATTGAAGGAGGAGGGATCCGCCATCAGACTCGGAAAATTGGACGCCACCGTGCACGGAGATGTCGCCTCGAAGTTCGAAGTCCGCGGCTACCCAACACTCAAGCTCTTCCGCAACGGCAAAGCAATCGAATACGGAGCTAGACGCGACTCGGCTTCAATCATCGGATGGCTCAAAAAGAAGAGCGGACCAGCTGTCAAGACCCTTGCATCGGCTGACGAGCTGAAGGACTTCTCCGACTCCGCTGACGTCGTTGTGGTTGGGTACTTCAAGGTGGTTTGTTGATATTATATTAGTTATAGATTTGTAGCACAGCGTTTTACAGTTAATTTAGTTGAGTCTTTTTCAAATATACTTATTTAATTTAGACTGCTGATAATGAAAATGCCATGGCTTTCCTCGAGGTTGCTGACGGGATGGATGTTGTGCCATTCGGAATGTCGACTGATGACGCTTTCGAGAAGGAGCTCGGGCTTAAGGGTGAGGGAGTCGTTCTATTCAAGAAATTCGATGAGGGAAAGGCTATCTTCGATGAGGAGGTATTGTTTTAGTTCTGGTGCATGTGAAACGCTTGAAAATTTTGTTGATTCATTGTCCCATTGTTCAAGAATAACTTTCACTTTTAGTTGAAGACTGACACACTCAGGAGCTGGATCGAAGCCAACCGTCTCCCACTCGTTGCAGAATTCACCAAAGAAACCGCTTCAGTCATCTTCAAAGGAGAACTCAAATCACTCAACTTGCTTTTCATCTCCAAGGAATCCTCCGAGTTCGAGAAGACCTACGGAGAATTCAAGGCTGCCGCCAAGCATTTCAAGGGAAAGGTAAGCAATATATTACGTTGTAGTTTAGTAATTACTAGGTTGAAAGGAATGCACATCCCTGTTTTTGAATGGTTATAAATTAACGGTTAAGTAATTGCTATAATCTTGAATCACATTCATACTTTTTATTTTGGGTTCTCTTCGTATACATCAACACCGATGTTGAGGACAACGCTCGCATCATGGAGTTCTTCGAACTCAAGAAGCGTGATATCCCAGCCGTCCGAATCATCTCGTTGCATGATGGCACGACCAAGTACAAGCCAGACTTCGACGAACTCAACACCGGGAACTTTACCAAGTTCACCCAATCGTACTTAGACGGAGCGTTGAAGGCTCACTTGATGTCTGAGGAGATCCCCAAGGATTGGGACAAATCGCCCGTCAAGGTATACATTTTAAATGGCTGGGATATATTACTCGGGACATTGTTAATATCTACAACGTTTAATCAATTTAAACACTAACTTAATTTTTAGGTGCTCGTCGGAAAGAACTTTGATGAAATCGCCCGAGACAACACTAAGAATGTGCTCGTCGAATTCTACGCCCCATGGTTCGTTCATTTAAGTTTCTTGCTAGATTAAATGTAACTTTAGGTGCGGACACTGCAAGCAATTGGCACCAACTTGGGACAAACTTGGAGAGAGATACGCTGGTCACGAGAACATTGTCATCGCCAAGATGGACGCTACCGTCAACGAGGTTTTTGTTTTTAAAGCAAATCAATATTTGTAGATCAGAGATACTTTAAAAAGAAAATTACTTTGGTAATCGCTATCTTAAACTAACAATTCACTTTGTTTAGGTTGAGAACGTGAAGGTTCAATCCTTCCCCACGATCAAGTTCTTCCCAGCCGGCTCAAACGAAGTTGTTGACTACACTGGTGACCGAACTCTAGAAGGATTCTCGAAATTCCTCGAATCGAGTAGCAAGGCCGAAGCTGAGGACGCCAAGGAGGAAGCAGAAGATGATGAGTCCGAGGGAAAACACATCGAGCTCTAAACCCCCATTTGCATAAGCATAAGCCCTTCTAGCGATTCATGCACTTGTCAAATTTCTGTGATTTTGTGCTTCATATGCGTATCTTTCCCGATTATATTTCCATCGAAGTGGGCTAATATTTTCTTTTGTTACTGAGTGAGTTCTGGTATTTTTTTCTTTTTTAACCCTCTCATAACCTAAGTGTGCTTCCCTCATTTCTCAATAATCGCCTCTGGCTGTATATTTTCTGTGTGTTGGGCTAAATGGGTAGTTTCTTGTGAGATTTCTATTTTGTAATCAAGACCCACATTTTTTTCTGTTTGTTTTATAAATGGTTGCCTTCGAAATTGTTGATTCTTCTGGAAATGAAAAAACAAACAATCCAAGCTGTAATGAATGAATGCATAGGCACAATGAAATGATGGAAATTTGGAAATGGTGAATTAATGGAAGGATTAGGCGACGATGGAAATTGATGATGAAAAAATATGAAGGAAAAAGTAACAAATGCGTACAGCTCTTGTTTAAAAGAAGATTCATATGCTACAACAATAAATTTGATACGGCTTGATCCTATCGTTATGGAGTGACCGTTGTGATGGGAGTTCGATAAACGCCCTGAAATTACAGTCTTTGCGTGAGGCGTCGAGTTTTCTAAAAGGTGGATTAATTTTTAAAAATGACTTTTTTTTTTGTGCGGACATACAATCGCGCGTCTTCTGGCAAACAGGCCCGGCCACTCGGTTCACTTACCCAATGCTTTGAGGAAATTTAGAAGAGTGAAACGAATCTTTCCCCCCTTCATCCACCCCCAATTCCCCTCAACGATCCCTCCCAGAAAAGTTCTCCTGCCAGTTAAACGAGCCCTCTTCTCTTCACTTTATCCACCCCCAAATTGAGACTGGATAGAGGCAAATCTCATTCCATTTATACCGGAAGTCCTTTTCTTTTTCTCCTCTAGATGAAGAAGGGTTTAGATTTGGGGTAACCGAATTCATCGCATTGTCTTTTTTCATGTAAAAAAAAAAACTCATTTTAGCCGTATTCCTAAATGTTTTTGGTGAGTTGAGAAAGAAAAGGTGAGTCTTGTCGAGGAGCTGAACGCTTCTGATGTCACTTTTTTTTTTGGCTATAGTTTTAGTTTCAAGTTCTGAAAATTTACATTCACCTGCCATTATTTCTTTTTGCGCAACTAGTGCTTTTCCTGTAATTTCGAATCTGTTTGCGTATTTTGTGCCCGGAAACGCGCCGGCTTTGGCACACTGTTTTCTCAATCGTTCGCAAGAGATTTCAACAAGAGATTTTGTTTTTTTTTTATGGATTTTGTCTGAAGCCAGGCCCTTAGCGATAAACTCGTTAAAGAAGCGTTAAAAGAAGCCAAAAAGTGTGCAATGAAGCTCAAGAAAGCATCTGCTACAATAAATTTGCATAAGGCGGGAGAAGGAAAAAATAAAGGAGAAAGATTGAAAAAGAGGGAGAGAAGAAGCAAATTTCCGCTTCTCATCCCCCAGAATCGAATGGACCTAAGGGGTAAAGGAGATAGAAAAAAAAGGAGAAAGGAGAAGGGAGAGAGAGAGAGAGTTCTTTCAAGAGTACCCCTCTCTACAATCCTTTTTTTTACTTTATTTTCCCTACTAAAACCACCACCACAATCAGCTCCGTACCCCAGAAAATCATCTAGAATTTCTTTTCAAAAAAATTTCCGAAACTTTCTTTTTGACTTCAGCTCTTCAGAAAAGTTTGGGATTGCTATTAGAATTGGCTATTAGAATTGGCTAATAGCAATTTCTTCAGCTCTACTTTTGAATTGGGATTCTGTGATCTGTTTGAAACAATGTAAAACAATGAAATAAAAAAGCGTTTGAAAAATTTGGGTACAATGAAATTAAGATTTTATTTTCATGAAGAAGATTTGTTTTTCAAATTATCTCTAATGATAATGATGTCTAATGTCTAAAAATGATTGATATGTACCGTTTATTTAAAAGAAAAATGCTCGAATCTTTTGCTGGTTTTCAAGTTTTTCACAAAAACCTTATATGGAAACGATACGATTCTCAAGAGTTCAATTCATTTACTGTTTTCTTTTTAGTTTAACTTTAAAATATTTTAAAAAACTTTAGCTATTAGAATTGAGATTTCATATAGTTTTTTTTGATTTTCTTTTGGATTCAATGTAAAATTTGACTTTGAAAATAACGTGAGTTGCAATAAAATCCACTGTATTGATTCCAGTCTGTATTGATTGATTCCAGTCTGCATTGATTGATTCCAGTCTGTATTGACACTCCAGTCCTCCAGTATTGATTTCAAATTACATATTAAAGATTTATTAAAGTAAGCTTGATTTACATTATGTCAAGTTAACTAACAATGATTGGATGCAGTCTTGGCGAAGACTGAGTCTATTTGGGTTACGGATTTTCCGGTTACCGTATTTTCTCTAATAGTAGTGCACCATGAGCGTTGCCTAAATTGCTCGAAATCTCGAAAAGTGCTTATCAGAACCTATCGATGTGGGGTCGGAAAATGTAGCTGACGATGAGATCTAGTGGGGGATTAGAGGGTTGAGCTTCTGCAAAAGATTGGAAACCGTAAAATCGTCACCAACTCGGCTCGCCCGGGGTGCACTACTATTAGAGAAAATACGGTAGATATAAATTCTAGATTTCTGACAATGATTTCCGAGTAATTTTTCCTTAACTTCTATAAAATTCTATAAAAAAGGAAAAGATATGATCGCTCTTAAAGAGAAACTCAAGTATCGACAACAGGGAATTGATGGGGAATTCTTTTCTATATGAAAAAAAAGAGAAGAAAAATCCCTCTTGAAATCTCGTGGTTAATCTCATTTTCGATATAAAAATGTCGCTTACCTTCAATATTTCCTTCTTGAAAGTGGTTTAAACTTTGAAAATGAATTGAAAGGCTTTAAGTTATCATTTCTTTTTCTTTTAGTCGTTTTAAACTTAGTCTTTTTATTATGAATAGGCTGAATGGGGATAATGAAAACGTAAATTTCGCCAGCCAAAAGCCAAGCCAGCCAAAAGCCAAGCCAGCCAAAAGCCAAGCCAGCCAAAAGCCAAAGTTCGGGCTTTTCAGCTTCGGGGCTTTTTTTGCCATCAGAATAATGAAACTAGATTGAAAAACTTGTTCACTTTCTTTTCGATTACACAAGTGCTTCGGGGGAAGTCATGTCTATCTGTTGTTCCTATTGGAATGAGGCTAAAGTGGGCTCTCGACCATGCCTCCCTTCGTCGCCATTCCTCTTTCAAACTCATCTTCTCCCCTTTCTTTTTTTTGCCAATCCAAATCCACCCACATTCTTGTTTTGATTTAAAAACGTTTCACGCATTTAGCACCATTTAATCGCTTTTTATAGACGAATTTATTTTTAGCATGACCTTAAACGGGATAAGTGTCGGTTTTCAGATTTTTAAAAATCTTTTCATATTCACTTATTTCGTTTCCTTCTACGTTTAAAAGAATCCTTTATATTGATTAAGTTCTCAATTTTATTTTTAAAAGTTCAACATTCAAAAGATATTCGATCTTCTGTGTCTTCAGTGCCTACCAATATTGATGTTGATCGCTAAAACTCATGCTAAAGCTTTGTTCATTACATTTAACACTAAATTCGTGTCATTCAATTTCTATGAATGACTATGAAAACTGTCGCTTGCTTGTCTTGCTTGTCTTGCTGCCTTGCTTGTCTTGCTGTTTTGCTTGTCTGCTTGTCTTGCTGTCTTGCTTGTCTTGCTTCTCTTGCTGTCTTGCTTCTCTTGCTGCCTTGCTTGTCTTGCTTGTCTTGCTGTCTTGCTGTCTTGCTGTCTTGCTTGTCTTGCTTGTCTTGCTTGTCTTGCTTGTCTTGCTGCCTTGCTTGTTTTGCTGTTTTGCTTGTCTGCTTGTCTTGATGTCTTGCTTGTCTTGCTTGTCTTGCTGTCTTGCTGTCTTGCTGTCTTGCTGTCTTGCTTGTCTTGCTTGTCTTGCTGTCTTGCTGTCTTGCTGTCTTGCTTGTCTTGCTTGTCTTGCTGTCTTGCTTGTCAATCCAGAATTCTGTTTGGAAAGTCGTCTTGGTACCATTAAAACTACAAACTTCTATGCCAAAAATCTGGCGTTTGCGAGCTATTTTGTAAATTTAACAACAGATTCGAAACCTTTTTAAGATTTTTCTATTGCATAGCATGAGTTAAATCTCGTTTCGAAATCGTGAAAAGTAAATTAAAGTGTGGACGAATGTCGAATTTCGTAAACGCCAAGCCATTCCAAACTGTTGTCGTTGTCATTTTATTCTCGGAATTTATTGTCTTCTCCCCTTTTCCTTGTCTTTTTCCCTTTCGTGTTGGCCGTAAATTTGTGTCTCCTGGCAGCCTTGTCAGAAAAGAAGGAGTCAAGAAAAAAAAAAAGAGGTCGATCATTCTCAATTTTCATCAAAAGTCTTTTCAAATTGATTTCTCTTTTCGATGAGATGAAAGACTTTTGATGAATCCTTTCAAAGAAATATCTCGAAGAGATTCTTTACAAGTTTATCTTTCTCAAAATCGAATTATTCTTTCGCGCCAGAGATTTTTGCTTATCTATGTCCACTCGTTCATTTGATCTGACAACGCAAAGGGGTTTTTTTTTTAAAATTTTGGATTGTTTTATCGAAGATGAAAGTCTGAAAGTTCTGAAAGTTACAGTTGAGATTGGAAGGAAATCTTTTCAATGCAAGAGTTGTAAATTTCTTCAATAGCTTAACTTCTGGGTCCGTCACTGGGTCCACCAGAAGTCAAGCGTGACTTACAGGCCATTTGTAATGTTATTCTTTCAGTTTTCAAGGCATTAGTCCTTTTTATTGACAATATTCCTTTAAATCTTTCAATATTTCAATCTTTTAAATGTTTTTTTTTGCTTTAGAAATGGGTGACCTTGTCGGGATGGACGGTGACGATTACTATGATCAATTCTTGCCGATGCACTCAAATCAGTGCATCGAGGTGGGCATGTTAATGCGAGTGAATGGAGATCTCACATCA